TAAATATGCTACTTTTGAGCAAATAAAGTGCTACTAGGAAAGAAGAAACGTGTGGGACGTCTTTACTGCCCTTCCGACACGGACGCTGTGCAATGCTGCTAATTGCTTTACGACCTGCAGAGGCTCGCAGGGGGAAGTGTGCTGGACGCCAACAATAAAGCAATAAATCTATCCTAACAGTTTTCTGCTGCTCCAGAGAAGCGGACACGGAGCAATGGATCCAAACTACAAGAAAGAAGATTCCACCTAAACATTAGGAAGAACTTCCTGACAGTAAGAGCTGTTCAACAGTGGAATTTGCTGCCAAGGAGTGTGGTGGAGTCTCCTTCTTTGGAGGTCTTTAAGCAGAGGCTTGACAACCATATGTCAGGAGTGCTCTGATGGTGTTTCCTGCTTGGCAGGGGGTTGGACTCGATGGCCCTTGTTGTCTCTTCCAACTCTATGATTCTATGATTGGGTAAAATTATGGAAAGGTTTAAAATTTACTGCATGCAATGCCTTAAAAGAAAATGTAATGAAAATGATGTATAAATGGTATATTACACCCATTAAATTAGCCAAAATGTATAGTTAGCAACAAATGTTGGAAATGTAAAGAAAAAGAAGGAACATTTTATCACATGTGGTGGGAATGTAAAAGGTGAAAAACTTCTGGGAGATGATATATAATGAGATGAAAAAATGTTGAAATATACATTTATAAAGAAACCAGAAGCATTTTTACCTGGCATTGTAGGAAGTGATATAAATAGAAAGGAATGTAAGTTGTTTTTATATGCAACAACAGCAGCAAGAATATTATTGGCACAAAAATGGAAGCAAGAAGAATTACCGATGAAAGAAGAATGGAGGATGAAATTAATGGACTATGCAGAGCTAGATAAACTAACAGGAAGGATTCGAAATCTGCGGGACCAGAAATTCACAGAAGACTGGCGTAAATTTACAGACTATTTGAAAAGTATTTGTGATGATCAGACTACGTTTGTAGGTTTGCAAGAAGTTTTGTGAGGAGAATTATTGGAGCTATTGCAAAAATGGATAAAGGGGAGGATGGTTAGTTAAGATAATTAAAGGCAATATGAATTTAAGAAATGCCTAAGAAGTGGTTAAAACGGTGGATCATCAGAGGTGCTGATGGAAGTCCAAAAAAGATTGTATAAGTGGTGAAGTTTTGTGGTATGTATTATAATTTATATGTTAAAATTAATAAAAATTATTATTTTTTTAAAAAAATTAATACAGTGGTACCTCGGATTACATACGCTTCAGGTTACATATGCTTCAGGTTACAGGCTCCGGTAACCCAGAAATATTACCTCGGGTTAAGAACTTTGCTTCAGGATGAGAACAGAAATCGTGCTCCAGCAGCACGGCGGCAGTGGGAGGCCCCATTTGCTAAAGTGGTGCTTCAGGTTAAGAACAGTTTCAGGTTAAGAACGGACCTCCAGAACAAAATAGATACTTAACCCAAGGTACCACTGTAGTTCAGCTGGAATACCATCACTTCCACTGGCCTTGTAATTTGCAATACTTTCTAAGGCCCATTTGACTTCACCCTCCAGGATGTCTGGCTCAAGGTCAGCAACCACACTACCTGGGGTGTACGAGACATCCATATCTTTCTGGTATAATTCCTCCTCTTCTTGATGTCTTCTGCTTCTGTTAGGTCCTTACCACTTTTGTCCCTTATTATGGAAATCTTTGTACGAAAAGTTCCTTTCACATCTCCAATTTTCTTGAACAGATCTCTGGTTTTCCCCATTCTATTGTTTTCCTCCATTTCTTTGCATAGCTCGTTTAAGACAACGCTCTTGTCTCTCCTTGCTATTCTTTGGAAATCTGCATTCAATTTCCTGTATCTTTCACTATCTCCCTCGCATTTTGCTTGCCTTCTCTTTCCTGCTATTTGTAAGGCCTCGTTAGACAGTCACTTTGCTTTCTTGCATTCCCTTTTCATTGGGATGTTTTTCGTTGTTTTTGTTTTGTTTTGTGTTTCAGTAGGATTGTTAATTTTTCTTGATTTTACTGCTTTGGTGTTTTTTGTTTTGGTAAACCAATCTGCAGGTTTTTAAAAATAAATTTTATTAAATAAATATAAATAAAATAACCCAACCCAAAACACAATCCATCCTGTAGATTTAAGTATCTGTCCACAGTCACCTACTTGTTATCAGAGGCCCAGAATCCACATTCCTTTGTAAAAAAATATGAAATAAAGTCAAACCATTTTTGCAGGCAAAAAAAATTTATTTATTTTTTAAATCAATGTGGGGGGGGGGAGAGACAAGAAATTTTCTGCACTGGGTACCACCTGACCTTCCTATGCCACTGGGTCTGGGAAGGGAGCATGGATAAGGCAAATAACAGGCAGATAATATGCCTGGTCTGTTACTTGCATACAATAATAGTCCTGTGTTGCCAGAGAATGCAGGGGAGGAGCAGAGGCAGGCAGAGGGAGGGGGGCAGGAAGTGGCGACTGAGGAAAGAGGGGAAAGCCAGGAGGTGGGACAGCTCACAGATGTTGAACCAGAGCCTCAACACCGCACAGGAAGTTCTGGCACAGACAGTGAAACAATGCCTATTCCGTCTGCCAAGGAAAGGAGAGTGTTAAAGAGGAGGGGGCAGAGGCGTCACGTGAAACTTTCCCGCCTTTTCTGTTGGAGAAGGAGCTGGCATAAGCCACTCCCAGAATCTGAGCCGGAGGATTCGGATGCATGATTGTAATGGGCTGCTTGTACATATGTAAAATAAAGACTGTATATATGTATCTCTGAGTGAGCAGAAGCATTTCTTGCGAAGAGCATTCACAAGCCATCACATCCTGTATATTAGCTAATTTACTATCTTGAGTCGGTAGACCATTTTTCAACGTTAACATATCTCAGTCATAGTGGTTCATATTAACATAATTGGGTTTTTTTTACTTTAAACATTAGAGTTTTTCTCGCCAAAGCTCCTGTAGAGAAGCAGTCATGCCAAAAGTCCACGATGTGACTTTTAAGTGATCATTTCAAACCCAGGAACCACAACAGTATTCCATCTGATTGGCAGCACATCCTGTCTATCTCTTTGAGTCTCTGCACAAATTATGCTGCTCTTAACACTAGTCAGACAGAACATAAAGTAGCATCTCCTCCCAAATAATGCAGACGGCTCTAGATTAAATACTTCAGCTTAACTGATCTTGATTTGAAGATTCTGAAAAAAGATGAAAGGCCTCCTCTAATGAGAACAACCTGTGGGTCATCCCACGGAATACTCAGATAAATGGTGAAAGTATGCTGATAACAGAATATGACAGCACCAGCTTGTTATTTTTAAATAGATGAAGTCAGACGACATGGAGTGGGGAGAGCGAGAGCGAGCCCAAAATTATTACCTGAAATAGCACAATGACGAAACCCCTTCGGAAAGTCTACTGAAGAAACCTCTCAAAAACTACAGTCTTCCAAATTACAAAACTTGACAGCTTACCATAGACTCCTAACCTATGTTCTGTTTCTTTTTAAAACAAAACAAAACCAATTTTGCTCCTGATAATTTCAAAGGCTGCTAAGGTTGCTGGAAACTACCTGTTCTTGAGATCTCTCTTGCGCTCTCTCTCTCTCTCTGTGTGTGTGTGTGTGTTCTAAGGATGGGTGGATCTGTCTGTTTTGGTTTCTCTCTTTTTGTCATTTTTCCAAGCTTGGGTTCAGTTCTCCACGTTTCCATATTAGTTTGCCATTAAAAAAAGCCCTCATGATAATATACACATTTTTGCAAACCAATTTCCCCTAGAGAAGAAGAAGAAGAAGAGTTTGGATTTGATATCCCGCCTTTCACTCCCTTTAAGGAGTCTCAAAGCGGCTAACATTCTCCTTTCCCTTCCTCCCCCACAACAAACACTCTGTGAGGTGAGTGGGGCTGAGAGACTTCAAAGAAGTGTGACTGGCCCAAGGTCACCCAGCAGCTGCATGTGGAGGAGCGGAGACGCGAACCCGGTTCCCCAGATTACGAGACTACTGCTCTTAACCACTACACCACACTGGCCCTAACATGATGCTTTAAAAAAAACACTAATTTATGCATTTCTAGACACACCTTACCTTGGTATATGAATTTTGGTGCCCATTCTTTGGCTGGGAAGCTGCAATTCAGAGAAGGACGAATTTTGAAGGATGGATGTTTCAGTTTCTGTATTGTTTCAGCAACTGCAGATTTTGTAGGTTTGCCTTTAAATGTGAACTGAACTGAATTTCTCCCCTAATCCCTAGTGTATTCCTAATCTCAATTAATAATAACTTAATGACATAGTCAATCTCTCCCTATAGAGTTGGCAAAGTGGGATATAACTTGAATAAGTGAATGAATGAATCATTGATTCCAATAGGGGCTGTTTTGGCAAAGAGGATTTGCTTCTTTTATTTCTCTAACTACTGATTTCTCTAACTAATGTCCAGTAGCACCTTAGAGACCAACTAAGTTTGTTCTGGGTATACCTAAAGAAGGGTCTGGTGACTTCTGTTTCAGTGTTTCTGAAGAAGTGTGCATGCACACGAAAACTACTCAGTTGGTCTCTAAGGTGCTACATTATAATTTTTAAATTCTTTTGGAAGGATTCTTTTAAACTTTCTTAGATCATATAACTTTTTTGAAGACTTGATTCTTTTAAGGGAATTTTTAGGTTTTTAAGAAGAGTCTTTTTAACCATCTTTTTAAATAATTGTTTTAATTTATTTTGACTGTAAATGAGAAACATGTTTTGTCTCTAGTTCCAGGGATGTGACCACAAGGTATCAGATGCCAGAGAAGGGTTGGCTCATTTGGACATACTTTGAGATTTTTTTAAAATTTGCTCATATTAAAAAGAAAAAAAGAAAAGAATCACAAACATCTGTGAGGGGGCCACTGAAAGTAATGATTTCAAAAGAGCTACTTGAAGTAGGACTAACAGGAACCAACTCATGATGCAATTTAACATGGATTGGGCAGCCTACAGTCCAAAGGCAGGGGCCATAAAAAGCTGAGGCTCTGGACTTGAGAGACGTGCGGCAATGAAGACACTTCACCTTCTGTCATTCTGCCTGCTCATGGTAGCAAATGAGACAAGGAAGTTTGAGGATTGTGAATTGTTTTACAAGCTGAGAGATCTGGGGCTGGATGGCTTTCGCGGTATTGACGTAAAACAATGTGAGTCTTGTTTGTTGGACGTACAATGTCCAGCTGCTCTGTTAGGATAAATGTACACCCAATTTGTTGTGGATCCCAACCTCCCTTTGGTTTCTCATTTCTAGATGACATGTGTAGCAATTTATATGGATTTGTTTGGGTTTTTTGTTTACAGTATTATTGTTATTATCTCTGACCATTTTAAAATAATGTGGCATATCTGAAAAATGAGAACTGACAGAGCAGGCAAGATTGAAAATAAAGAGTCTTGTGGCACCTTAAAGGCTGACACATTTATGATATAATAATTTTTTATGAACTTCATCAGTTGCAAGATTAAAGGTAAAGGTAAAGGTAAAGGGACCCCTGACCGTTAGGTCCAATCGTGACCGACTCTGGGGTTGCGGCGCTCATCTTGCTTTATTGGCCAAGGCAGCCGGTGTACAGCTTCCAGGTCATGTGGCCAGCATGACTAAGCCGCTTCTGGCAAACCAGAGCAGCGCACGGAAACGCCTTTTACCTTCCTGCCGGAGCGATACCTATTTATCTACTTGCACTTTGATGTGCTTTTGAACTGCTAGGTTGGCAGGAGCAGGGACCGAGCAACGGGAGCTTACCCCGTCTCAGGGATTCAAACCGCCGACCTTATGATCGGCAAGTCGTAGGCTCTGTGGTTTAACCCACAGCGCCACCCGCGTCCCCAAGATTAAAGGTAGCACTGGATAATTCATAATGTTTTAGGAAAATGTTAAAAGCTGTTAGAAACATTGCTATTTTAAGAATACTGAAATAGAAACAACAGCATTTCAAAACTCAGAATGTCAAAACCAAGAAAGTTTATGTCAATGTTTTGAAAGTGTTTAAACAGCAGGATTTTTGGAGAAGTTTTAAAAATGCTTTTCTGTTTCTGTGTTTGGGAACTGATTTTAGGAAAGAAAGGACACTCTGAGTCCCTGGTTTTTATACTTTGCTTCCCTACCAGATGTCTGTATGGCTGGATTCCCAGCTAATTACAACACTGAATACTACGAGACAGAAGAGGGTGTCCCACACTACGGGCTATTCCATCTGAGCGGCCAGGAATGGTGCTTTAATGAGAGGCGGCCCTCACAGAACAAATGCAACATTTCCTGTGATTGTGAGTGACCCTTTTTTTCCTGCTTGTGCCATGTACTGTATGTCTCAAGATGAGTGGCTTATTTCTAAAAAGAGACAGGCCATGGATATTTCCCCAAATTTCACAATGCAATACTCCAGCCAGTAAACTTATGCAAAAGTGCATCTATTAGGGAGAAAGCATGCACAAACAGGCATTAATGATGAGCTATGCTAAAGAGAGGTGTGTGTGTGTGTGTGTGTGTGTGTGTGTGTGTGTGTGCTTGGCCTGAGGAAAGTCTTGAAAGCAGGATAAAGAGAACTGGATTTGGCCTCTGGGCCCCTGGTTCCACACTTCCTACTCTAAAGCCTATACTCCCAAGACAGCTTGGATGTCCTGAGCACATTAACCAACAGGTGCATGATTCACCAGACTGATGCAATCCCCACTTGATAACCTGAGCAGGTTTGAAGTTGCCTGGTGCAATTTGGGGGGGGGGGGGGTTGAGAACCTAAGCAGACTTCCAGAAGGGCAGGATGCAGGTTAGAGCATGAACTGTGAAACAAATGGTAATTATGTAATGAGACTTTATAGCCTATTATTTCATACATACATATTTGGAGACCTAGGCCAGGTTCTGAGAGGGACCTTCTGCTTCAGTGCCCTGTTCCAAAAATAAAAGCACCCCACCATGCATCCCTAAAGGAATTTTTTTAAAATGTTATGCAGTCTGCATAAAATTTGCATATGGCAGTTTATTTGTATATATGCAAATTTAGATATAATTGTTATGAAATTACTCGTATAATTACAAGAAAACAAATTTAATTTAATTAATGTACATTTAATTTAAATTACTATTATTTAAATAGAAAAACATATTGCCACAGTGTGGAATACATCAAGTGACTCGTGCTCAGCAGACGCCAGGTCCTGATGGGCAACTTCAAGACCTCTTCAGTTCTTGCTTCTTAGGGTTGTTTATCTCTAAACTGAACTTAGACCAGGCAACACTTTAAGTAGAGGTGAGGATTTGCATGGCCACCCGAACTGTGATCATTATGCAAGTTTCCTACCTGGTAAGGGAGGCCTGGTTTACCTGCATAGCAGAATAAGGTAGCCTGAAGTGGTAGAAGTGATTAGAGACCTTCAAGGCCCCTGGGGCTCTCCCTCTTTTTATGGCCCCTGAAGTTTAAATCAGAACTGCCCTCAAACCGGGGGCGGGGGGCGGGCCGGCCCGGGGGAAATTATCAAGAACCATTACTGCCCTACCTACCCTCCAAGGTGGTTTGGGACCCGGCGCTGGGCTTCCCGGCCCAGGCGAAGAAAATGAGACGAGGCCGAGCAGATTCGCTTGTGGGCAGGGGGCGGGGCTAGGGCAAGGCAAGGCCGGATCCACTTGGCTTCAACTCAATTTCTTCCCCTAGGCCGACTTTCTGGGCTGTTGGGGAAGCCTGCCAAGGCCGCTGCCTGTCCCGCTTTGGGCCCCCGTCCCCCTCCGACAAGCGGAGCACGTGGGACAGTGGCGGCGCTGCTGCCCCGTTTTGCCCGCGCGTGGCGCCGGGGGAGCAGCTCAGCAGCGCCCTGGGCACTGGGCCGGTTGGCCTCCTCTTTGCCCCCAGCCTCCCCGGCAGGAAGGTGGGATCCTCCTCCCCCCGCCAGTCTCCCTTGCATGGGTAGGATGCAGTCAGGCGAGCAAACAACGGAGGAGGATGGGAAGTTATTTTGAGTGATGCATCTGATCAATGCAATATGCTTAGTTCATAGTTAGCCCACGTGGCTTGCTTCTACACACGTGGCCCTCAGTGATTTTTTCAGACCTGCCTTCTCAGCTCTAGGGTTTGAAAGCTTTGCTAATATTACTGCATTTATTGCTTTTGCTGACATACACTCAAAGGAGCTTGAATAATAGTTCCAGAACGCTATGTGCCTGACCACACTTCCAACCCCCAAAGCAGTTGTGTGCCAGTAATTAAAAGAAGATGAGAAAAATCAGCAAAGCAATTCTGTGGCTAACTGACCAATTCCTTTAAATAGGGTCTATTAATGAAGTTCACACTTTTGACAACCAGTCTGATGCTTTTGCAGAAAAATATTCCTAGACACAAGACTTTTATTTTTTATTTTTTAAGCCCTTTCAGTCTCCCATCTCAAGGCTAAGTACAGCAAACCACATTCCCACCCCTCTCCCCAAGGCTGGTGACAAAGCTTATAAAACCATGCTTTTGTGCAGAGTTTTCATTGTGTGTTGGCATTTGTTTTATGTTATTTTTAATGACCAAGTATTTACAGTGGTACCTCGGGTTACAGACGCTTCAGGTTACATACGCATCAGGTTACAGACTCCGCTAACCCAGAAATAGTACCTCAGGTTAAGAACTTTGCTTCAGGTTGAGAACAGAAATCGTGCTCCGGGGGCGCAGCGGCAGCGGGAGGCCCCATTAGCTAAAGTGGTGCTTCAGGTTAAGAACAGTTTCAGGTTAAGAATGGACCTCTGGAACGAATTAAGTACTTAACCCGAGGTACCACTGTATACAGATTCTCAGAGTGGCCTCCAAGTAATTCAAATTGTGCAGAAGAAATGTGTGTGTGTGTCTGCAGCGCTTTCAGTGATACAGAGAAAATGTCTTCTGGGAGCGAAGAGGGGCAAGTGGCGCGGTGCTGAGAGTCAACTGCTTCTTCCGTGGAGCGAAGCCGCATAGCCGTTGCCGGAAAGCGCTGCCTTTTTCCTGGGACAATTTGGCTCTTAAAACAACTACCCGTGAGTAGCTTAATTTCGGACAATTGGACTTTAAACAACGACCTGTGAGTAGAAAGGAAAATTGGATCAAGAAATTCCTCTTAATTTGGCACTGAAACGGGAAGGTCTAAACAGGAAGTCAGCCTTCCGTTTCTTGTAGATAGATTAAAGCAAAGACATGGCAAACTAGAGTTCAGAAAATCGTCTGTAAAGGATTAACTTTCATCATCTAAAATTGTTGAACCCCTCTCGGAAGCAGGAGAAGAGGGGGGATTTTTTCCGGACTGTTTAAACCTGCAGAAGAGAGTGTAAAGAAAAGTAATTTTCCACCGTCTTGAACCTGGGAGCGGGGTGTCAAGACTGACGTTTTTGGGAAGCTCATTGACGTCTTTGACAGACAGTTAAAAGAAGAATCATAGAATCATAGAATCATAGAATCATAGAGTTGGAAGAGACCACAAGGGCCATCGAGTCCAACCCCCTGCCAAGCAGGAAACACCATCAGAGCACTCCTGACATATGGTTGTCAAGCCTCTGCTTAAAGACCTCCAAAGAAGGAGACTCCACCACACTCCTTGGCAGCAAATTCCACTGTCGAACAGCTCTTACTGTCAGGAAGTTCTTCCTAATGTTTAGGTGGAATCTTCTTTCTTGTAGTTTGGATCCATTGCTCCGTGTCCGCTTCTCTGGAGCAGCAGAAAACAACCTTTCTCCCTCCTCTATGTGACATCCTTTTATATATTTGAACATGGCTATCATATCACCCCTTAACCTCCTCTTCTCCAGGCTAAACATGCCCAGCTCTCTTAGCCGTTCCTCATAAGGCATCGTTTCCAGGCCTTTGACCATTTTGGTTGCCCTCCTCTGGACACGTTCCAGTTTGTCAATGTCCTTCTTGAACTGTGGTGCCCAGAACTGGACACAGTACTCCAGGTGAGGTCTGACCAGAGCAGAATACAGTGGCACTATTACTTCCCTTGATCTAGATGCTATACTCCTATTGATGCAGCCCAGAATTGCATTGGCTTTTTAGCTGCCGCGTCACACTGTTGGCTCATGTCAAGTTTGTGGTCAACCAAGACTCCTAGATCCTTTTCACATGTACTGCTCTCAAGCCAGGTGTCCCCCCTCTTGTATTTGTGCCTCTCATTTTTTTGCCCAAGTGCAATACTTTACAGTTCTCGCTGTTAAAATTCATCTTGTTTGTTTTGGCCCAGTTCTCTAATCTGTCAAGGTCGTTTTGAAGTGTGATCCTGTCCTCTGGGGTGTTAGCCACCCCTCCCAGTTTGGTGTCATCTGCAAATTTGATCAGGATGCCCTTGAGTCCATCATCCAAGTCGTTGATAAAGATGTTGAATAAGACCGGGTCCAAGACAGAACCCTGTGGCACCCCACTAGTCACTCTTCTCCAGGATCAAGAGGAACCATTGATGAGCACCCTTTGGGTTCGGTCAGTCAGCCAGTTACAAATCCACTGAGTGGTAGCATAGTCAAGACCACATTTTACCAGCTTCTTTACAAGAATATCATGAGGCACCTTGTCAAATGCCTTGCTGAAATCAAGGTAGGCTACATCCACTGCGTTCCCTTCATCTACCAGGCTTGTAATTCTGTCAAAAAACGAGATCAGGTTAGTCTGAGATGACTTATTTTTCAGAAATCCATGCTGACTATTGGTGATCACAGCATTCCTTTCTAGGTGCTCACAGACTGTTTGCTTAATGATCTGCTCCAGAATCTTCCCTGGTATTGATGTCAGACTGACTGGGCGGTAATTATTTGGGTCCTCTCTTTCCCCTTTTTGAAAATAGGGACAACATTTGCCCTCCTCCAGTCTGCCGGGACTTCGCCTGTTCTCCAGGAATTCTCAAAGATGACTGCCAGTGGTTCTGAGATCACATCTGCCAGTTCTTTTAATACTCTTGGATGCAGTTCATCTGGCCCTGGAGACTTGAATACATCTAAACTAGCCAAGTATTCTTGTACTATCTCCTTAGTTATTCTGGGCTGTGTTTCCTTTGCTGAATCATTTGCTCCAAATTCTTCATTTTTTTTTTTAAATGATATTTATTAAAGTTTCACAAAGATACATGAAAGTACAGAATAAAGAAAAAGTATAAAGTTTTAAGATATAACAAAAACAGTAAAAAATAAGGAAAAAATAAAATAAAACATACAAAATAAAACAGTTAAAAACACAATAATGTTCCATAACCTATCTTCCTTACTCTTATTTCCCCGGACCTCCTCATACCTCCCTTCTTTGTATTCCTATTCAATTTGTTGGTTCAGCAAATCCTTACCATTAATCTTTTACCCAATTGTTAACCTTTTTTCCATGTCTCTTAAAGCAT